TATGTTATGTTATGTTATGTTATGTTATGTTATGTTATGTTATGTTATGTTATGTTATGTTTGTATGTATGTATGTATGAATGAATGAAAATTCCACGGGTGTTGGAGCCCGCGTGTGAGTGTCAGGATCCTTGGGCAGCGGCGTTGGGGAGTCTCGCTGGGTTGTGCCAAGCAGGTCGGTGGCGGGGATCAAGCGCCCCTCATGGTTAAGACGAGCTTGGAGGCCACAGGACCTGTGTTGGATCTTCAGGCCTCCTGAGTGTAGGGTTGGTCGATACAGGTGTCATCAGGTGTCCTGTATGAACGCATTGTAATTAGATCTCGTCCTTGGAGCGTTTGAGGATGGAGACACTGCATTCCTCGCATTTGAGGTAGCGTTTGGTCTCCTGGATCTTGTGTTCATGCTGATCTGGTGGATTTTGGGCATGGTGCCGCAAAAGTTCAGCAATGAGCTGGCCTCTGGTGGGTTTCTTTGCCCACCGCGTGTTCGGGCTCAGCTGCATGGCGAACTCGAGGGCTAGCCCAAATAGGCCGGTGGCACGTGGAGGACTTTCGCTCCCGGTCGGGATTGCTGGGCGGCAAGGTGATTTGCCACTGGTCGAGGCTCGTGCAGCTTGCAGAGCGTTATAGGACGGTCCAACTGAGAGTTTTGGCCAGCATCACGACCATATATTCATTCGGCCTCTGCATCCACACTATGCAGTCGGAACAACTCCGCCGACTCCGCCATCACGGTCTTTGCACCTTGGCAACCCACACCACCAGTCGTGTGACGGTGATCGCGCAGTTGGCAGGTGTTTGGGAAGCATGGACCAACCCGAAAAAGCGCCAGGGTTTTTCCAAGATCTTGCCAACGCCGTGGCGCCTGATGCACTGCCTTTGTTAATTACCTTTGTTTGGCAGCGGGAGCAATCCACTCCAGAGGCTCCAGGCCGTGAACCTCACCTGCGTCGGAGCTGCTTGGGGACGAGCCAGCACCATCTTTGACCAGGCCAAGGAAGACTGGCAGGAGATCTTAGATGATGATTGCACCATCACCTACCAGCATGCAGCAGCCGGCTTGAGGCCATTTTAAAAGACCTGCCAGACCTCAGCAAGCCCCGAGCAGGCCTCAACACCAAGCTACAGATTCTAGTTGGGCGCTCCCAGACCTCAACCGCAAGCTCCAGTCCCATGGGCACTCCGGGCACCAACAGCAAGCGCCAGATCGTGGTGGGCGTTCCCGCACCTCATCAGCAAGCGCCAAGATGCCAGTCAGCGCTCCTGGATGTCAAGCTCCAGATCGCTGTAGGCACTCCTAGACCAGCAAGCACCAGATCGCTTCCACAAGCGCCCAGCAAGCGCCAGATCGCCGTGGGCAGGACCACACCACAACAGCAAGTGCCAGATCACTACCGCTTCTCAACAGCAAACTCCAGATCGCACTGGGCACTCCGCGCATGTCCGCCTTTGCCAGGCTAGTCTGTCATGTGCCCTGCCTTCTGTCAAATCGCCTTTCACGATGGGGATCGCTTTAAAGTATTTTTGGAGTTATGTGGAAACCTTGTTTCAAGATGGCCTAAGTGCTGTGCCCGCAACTCTTATGCCACTAGCCCAGCAACTTCTTGTCATTAGCCCTCAGCATAGTGTAATGTAATGGCTTGTATGTAATGTCATGCAGTTTCATGTCATATATATATATATGTTAATTTTTTGTGCGTGTGGTAAAGCATGTACTTACAGGTGAGGTAATGTAACACCTTTATGTATGTAGGTAGGTAGGTATGTATATATGTATGTATGTATGTATGTATGTATGTATGTATGTGTGACCTAATGCATGGAAACCGCCTTTGCAGGTGCCACGCCGAAAGGTGGGGACCGCCCGCAAAAATCAGTCGCATGGCAGAGCCCAAGGACTTAGGAGTGTGAGACTCCCGAAACAAGATGGCACATGGGAATAGTTAATAGTTGGCTAAAACGTGCTAAAACTTCATTTTGGGAAGGTTGCTAGCGCATGGCTTTGTTTTGTCGTGCCAACCCAGCTGCTCCGATAGAGCATTTGGTTCCGGTGTGCCCCGTACACATGTTCATGGTGCACCCAGTGCCAACTATCAATTCCACCAGTTTCGTCAGCTGACAGGTTCTTGCCGGTGTTGGGCTTGTTGGGGCGTGTGGTGCATTGAATGCACCGCCGGCTGGGGCCATATTCATCAACAAACGAGCGAGCAGACGTGATTTGATGGTCAAATCAGCAGGTTTGGGCAACACGAGACAGGGCATAATGATATCTGTGCTGGCACAGACCGGCGATCAAGACAACATCGTGGAGATTGGATTGGCCTGTCATCGCTCTGCATAAGAATCCTAGGACATAGTCAGACCAACTTGCCACGCCCATTATGTATTTGCTGGATTTTCCTCTCAGTTTTCTCAAGCTTCTGCCTCCAAGCCGTTGTCAAAGCGCAGTTATGTCCAACGGAGGCACGAATACCTACGTCAAGTATCGTCAAGTATTGTCATCTCATACTGGTAGTTTGAATGTCCCTCATCGCAGCGTGGCCAATTATGTGCAGTGGATTCGCAGGTGTGAAGAGGAAGTTGGCTGTGCTTGATCGGGATGCCTTCTTGGAGAAGCCGGGATGCCTGCATCGGGGCTTATGGCTCTAACCAGTAGTGGTTTGGGGACAACAGGTGACGTGTTATAAGTTGTTGTTCTTACGTGTGTATAGACACATGATATGTACACAGTTTGATTTGTCTCAAGAGCCCCATTTTCATCTCCAAGTTTTGAGTCGCTAATTCGCAGCTCTCAGCAATGGCAGAGACCTTCGCCTTCAATGCTGACAGATCATGACAGTTCTTCCTTCGAGAGTTGATCTCCAATGCTTCGGATGCCTTGGACAAACAAGACCTGTTGCGAGTCCAGAATGAGCCAGACTTTTACCGTCCGTGTTGTCAGCAAGCACAATGATGATGAGCGATATATTTTTGGAGCTCCCTCAAGGAGGAACAGTCGTCCGAGTTCTTGGAGATCGCTGCAGTCCAACAGTTCTATGAACAGTTTGGCAAGTGCCTCAAGCTTGGTGCACGAAGATTCCACCAACCAGATGAAGGTGAATGAATTCCTTCGCTACGACACCTCCAAGTCCGGCGATGAGCAGATCAGCCTGAAGGAGAGCGTGTACCACATGAAGGGATGGCCAAAACTACATCACAGGAGAGAGCATCGCGGCGGTGTCGTCTTCACCCTTAGCGCAAGAAGGGCATCGAGATGCATCGAGGTGCTGTACATGATTGACCCCATGGAAGAAGTGGACCATAAGCCAGTTGCCAGAACCGAATTCAGGCTGAATTCAGGTAGCTTTAGACAATGATTCATTTACTGTATAAATTATGTATATATATAGTATATATATAATATAAAATTGTAGAATTTGGTGTGCGGCAAGTGTGCTACTGTCGATCCACCGACGATTGAAGTGCAGCAGGAGAAAAAATACAGGTATATTTTGCGTGAGTGAGCAATCAAAGGTTGGACAATGTGACGGAGCATGCTGTGGGGGAGATTCAATCGCTATAAATGGGCGTTGCGGAGGTGTGCGGTTTGCATGATGCAGATGTAGATTAGCCCAGAGGTCGAAGGCCGCTCGCATGCAGCGTTGCCCTCAAGGCATGGATCTTGTATATGGCCCGTGGTAGAGGATGCACATGGGCTTCATTGAAGGGGCACACACATGTATGAGTGCAATGCACATCCTCCCATCAGCCGCCTTCAAGAAAGCGTGTCTGTAACATATCCTTGCTTCTTGTTCGGGATCTTGGTATCATCTTGGCCAGGGCACTTCATCAAGGCGATGTACTCATCCCTTGTGGATGCCATTATCACTGATCCAGAGCTAATGGCCCCTGCCCCAGCATCTTCGACAGAGAGAGGTCACTGGAATTACTTATATATCAATTTATCAATTTCTCTTTGTTGTTTTGTGTCCACTTCTAGGGTCCATGCCATTCAACTGGCTCTTTGTGCACAGTTGCAAATTTGCTTGTGGCAATCATCCTTCTTGCCACTTTGTGAGCAATACCAGGTGCTGCCACTGGACGATCATGCTATTGTCAGGACTGGGCCAGCGAAAGCGGACCGTGATAGTGATAGTGATAGGCAAAGTTTCCTAATTGAATTCAACTTCCTCTCATTGTGCATCCATTCCTTCGGGTCAAGTGCTTGGCCAGGGGGCATGCTGTCTTTGACACCTGTACGCTCGCCAACGGCTGCGTTTATAGGCGGGCATCCTGTAGAACGGATGTATATATATATATATGCACGTTGGCCCTTTTTGTTTAACAGTCATTGCTTCTTGGCAAGGCAGGCTTGAGGTCAACAGGGCAAGTTCGAGAATTCGATGCCACTCTGCTGAGGGCAACGGTGAAAACCAATGGCTGATCTCAGGTTGGGACTGCATTTGGATCGTCTCTTCACCTCTGCCAAGCTAGCAAAGTTGAAGCTGCCCTTCGGCGACAGTGAGGAGAAACTCAGAGGGTGCTGCCTGGGTTGGCCATGTTTACCCTCTGACCCTCTTGGTCTTTCAACGTTTTTCCGGGCTAATTATTGTGGTTGCAGACAATGTTTGCCTTGCACACAGCTCCATTCTGTGAATTGATTGTTACTTGTCGCTTGGGAATGAGTTAAAACTACACGTGTTCTTGGAATGTCTTCCCGTTTATATAAATCCTGATGATGCTTGGGTAAACGCGGCTAATGCCATAAGTGTGCCGGACACTAACCTCTAAAAGAGTGATGAAAGAGTTATTAGCGCATGTTAGTTCAACTCTTTGCCAGGACGAGAACCGGAGAAGAATAACAGCCGCTCGTTTGCGACCGTAGACGATGAGCTTGGCTTGGGACTGTGTTCATTGTAAAGTCTTTGGGCATCATGATCTGTGCACGTGTGGCGGGGGCAGCTATAGACAGACCACACCAGCAAGAACAGCCGCAATGCCAAAAAAGTCAAGAGAAAGCGACAAGAAGGCCAGAGGAGAAATCATTCAGGAAAGCACACACACACACACCCGTTGAAACATCTTTTTTGCCATCAGAGGAAATTGTTTGCGAGACTTGTGTCGCAAGCGGCCTAAAGAATGGAGGCCGGTGCTCTTGAATTCTTCATAATATGATGATAATGCATAATACCGATGTATATTGTATGTCGTGTAGAAAGTGTAGGAACATATATAGTTATAATAGTTAATTAAGTATATACACAATTACTGCATATTATATAAATATATCATATTTGTATGCAATGTTAGAGTTGGTACTTTCCAAGTTTACCCTACCGTTTTCCTGATTGTTTTGCTGCAGTTGCAGGCGTGCGATACTTTCTCACTGCTGGGCCTGGAAACTTTGGATTCACCTCAGCAGGCACGGCACACTTGCGAGTGGATATGTACATATATATAATATATATATATACACATATATATTACGAAAGCCAGCCGGTAGGCTAGGCTCGAGTTGTCGATTGGCGAACGAAGTGAGCATTAGGGGGTGTGGGGGGTTGTTTAGGGGTACTGTATAATTTGGGTAGGGCGAACCCAGAGCCTGGTGGTGGAGAGCGAAAAGAAGAGGCGGTCCGAAACGCAGTGAAAATGTATGGCTTTTGGGGTGCTAGGCCGAAGAGTGCATCATTAGCATCATGAGGGGCTCAGGAGGCCATTTAAACAGTCTTTCGACCAGGGGTAGGAGTTCATGTCGAGGACAGGAAAGGGGGGACAACGGGACAACGGGACGTGAAAAGTGGTTGGAGCTCCTTCAGGAAAGTGAGATGCGCGTCTCCCAACACTCTGTTTTCTTGTGGCTATAATATGAGTGGAAGGGGCTGCAAGCAGAAACGATGTGACCCGTTGAGGACAGAGTGCAGTGGGCAAGCTTTGAGTTGCTTGGGGGTGCCTTGTATAAATGGTGAAGAGGCCTGTTAACCATTAACCAGACGCAAAAGGGCACCCCATATGGGGTGGGAGTTCATGTGGAGGACAGGCATAGGCGGAGGATGTGATAGGAACAGAGGTGGGGAGCTACCTCTAGAGGATAGGAGAGGGAAGGGGACAACGTGACAGGATGATATAGAGGTCGGATATGCAGCAGGAACGTGAGATGTGCGTCTCTCAATCATCACTTTCTCGTGGCTAACAAGAGTGGCAGGGAACGCCAGAAAGGATGTTATCGGTTGAGGGCAGAAGAGGGAACAGAATGCAGTCCGTGACAAGCAGGCAAGGCGATGGTCCGTTGAGCAAGGCGACTCCCCACCATAACAACGGTAATCTTTCCCCGAAGTTAAGCAATCACATGATCTTGGCAGTAAACTTTCATCGGCCCACTCTTTGCAGCACGCCGAGTTTGTGCGTCCACCTACAAGAAATGAGAAACAAACAGCAGGCAAGCGCCCCTCAAATACTTAGGGGTGCCTTTTTTTTGAACACGCCTTTGAACAAAAAGAAAAGGGACACCCCACCCCACCCAACTGTGAATGGGAGCTTGTCAAATCGGTCCAAACCGCGAGACTTCCCACCTCTGCCTTCTATTTGCCCATGCCCGACAGCGGCTCCAGCGCGCTCTCGGATTCATTCCCCATAACCATATTGATGTATTCTTACAGAGGCTGGCTTTCGCCCCCTCCTTTATCAGGTATTTATGATTGATGAGAGAGAGAGAGAGGGCGAGGGAGAGAGAGAGGGGGGGGGGGGGGAGGGGGGTGAGGGAGACCGCAAGCGAGAGCGAGAGAGAGAGAGGAAGAGCGTGAGAGTGAAAGTGAGAGTGGAAGGGGGAGCTAGAGTGGGAGGGGGCCAAAGACAGAGCGAAAAAGAGGAAGGGAGAGACTGGGGAGTGAGAAGGCAAATAGAATGCCATTAGCCGGCTCCAATGCCCATCACCAGATCGGCAGCTTGATACTTCTACTTGTAACCTAGCGCGTGCCCAGGTTGTGAGCCTGCGTTCTACGTGACCGTGTGGCCAATCTGCACTAACCGCCTTATTCCTGCCGGGGCTTGGCCATCATACAAACCCAGATCAATGATTCAGACACCCAGGAGAATCCATGAATAGCAAACAAGCAAATGGCCTCAACTTCATTTGGATTTCCAAGGCTCAAAAGCGAGAAAGATTCTGAAGCAACAGCCGGAACCATAGCACTGTTTTGCATGCAACCTTCGACAAAGTTGCTTCTGAAAAGCAACCAGCGCTGTGTATAGCTACCTTTGCGTCCTTTCAGGCAGCCAACCCGCCTTTAGCGGTGTTTCGGGAAATCCTCGCAGCTCAAGGCATTTTCCTTGCTGGAGCTATTCCATGCCCATATGCTCGGTTCCTGTTCAAACGCGGCAACCCTTTCTTGAATCTATATAAGTGGGGTGGGAACATTACATTGGACATTGCAGTTTTTTGAAGCAACACATACTCCATGACAACACAACATGAAGGCTGGCATCCGTACCCAGCCTGCAAAGCCAACCTGAGCAAGTATTGGCCGGCAAGTGGGCAGCTTGCTAATGACAGTGCAACAGCCCTGGGTTTTTGGCAGCCCGGAACAAATCACAAGTCACTCACTGGCAACACGATGGGCAGTCAAAACATCATGCGTATATTTGGCTACGTTGGGAACCGGCGCTGAGTGCATGCAACAGATGCTACCTCCGATCCTTGTTTAGTCAGTGTGGTGTTTGCACTGTATCCTGCTGAGGGCATTAGCGAGGCACTTGTGCCTGAAAGCGAGGCGGGGAACAGGGAAAGAAGTGGTGGACACACGACTGGTGATTAGTGGTTCGTGGCAACTCTTATCATGAACAACTTATATACTTGAATTTGCTCCATGAACAAGTAACAAGACCAATGAAGGACGGAACTGTCCCATTGCGTGGCGTTCCTGAAGATCTTTATTGTTGCGATTCTGCTGAGTCTGTTTTGCAGCCCCGTGCTTGAAGACCAAGGTACCTATGAAGCCCGCTCTTTTGGCCACCCTGAAGAGCAACAACTATCTGCTGAATTGCATGCTCGCGATGACTGCTCAGGCGGGCCTTCTCCCTTTTGTTTGAATACTGAACGGTAGTCCGGTAGTGATGATCTTCATCGAAGCAACAAGGTGGAACCAGAGATCAAGCAACATCGTATTGTTTCGTTTCAGTCGTTTCAATGAAGCTCAGGAGCGAGGTGGGAATTTTGGCATCAACATCCGCCTCTTGGCATGACTTTGCTGACCTTGTGCTCCTTGAGCACACTACGGATCCGAGGTAATGATGGCACTGTAGCAGAGGGCTGCGTAGCCAACTGTGCCATTGTCACCAAGGAGATTTCCTGCGATTGCAATGTGTATTCCAAAGCAAGTTCCGGAATTGCGCGGCATGAAGGCTTTCGTTGTCGAATGCTTGACAGGACAAAACGTTCATTACCCCACCGCACCCTGGAAGCAATACATTGGTTGGCCAAAACACGATTTCCACCTGATGGTATTTCATTTCTCTCAGGCTTTGGCATCATCGGAGTGTTTACAGCAAATATGATGAATTGCTATTAACATTATTGTGACATATGTTTGTTGAGATTTGTTTAGCAAACTATTCAATGTAACTGCTTCCGCAGCTAGGGGCTATTGCTAGAATTGCCCACTCGTGCGAACTTGCTCCTGCTGCGCCGAAGGTTGTGCACGCCAACCTGTGCCACCTCTTAACGGGCCCTTGTGATGGACCAGACGCCACAAAAACTTAACACCACCAAGGTGAGGCTCTGGATCAGGTAGTACCTCTCATTGCAGCTACCTAGTGGCCACTATTGGCCGGATGCACGCCCGGTGCTCCTCTTTGTCGAACACCACAGAATCACCAATCCGACCAATCCCTCAGGTTTGATGGCATCCTTGCGGGAACCACCGTGCGTAAGGTCGGGCCAGCGCGAGCGGCGCGACCGTCCAGGCACAACGTCGCAGATCATTCGACAGTGTTCGAGCGAGTACTTTCGAGAGTGTACTTGTTTTTTTATGCTTACATACTGATCATACTGGTGAGTGCGTTCGGTAGGGCTTTGCCACAGCACCGTGGCATCCTCCGAAGGCCATGCAACTCATCAAGGAGCATCTCCTAGGTGAGAGTAAGGCTGGGTTTTGTTCGAAGGTTGAGACGCACATTGGAAGGTTTCTTGGGATGACCCGGCAGCCTCAGAATAAAGGAACACAATATTGTGTGGAGTTGCAGGCACAGTCTGTGCACCAAGTTCCTTCCAGCTCAAAAATGTCCATTCACCATTGAGCAAGGCCTCCAAGAAACGAAGGTGAACTGACCCTCAACCCTCCTTCACCCTCCTACATAATTCGTTCTTGAAAATTCTGGATTGCAGCTGTTTTCCAGTTTTTCAACATCGCTTGGCCTTGCGAGGCCGTCAAAGAGGTTCGTCAAGAGACCTTGCACTCTGCCCAGCTTTTTGATGCTGCAGAGGTGCAGGGTCTCAGTGGCCAGAGAAGCCTCATTTCACTGCAGATCCTGCTGTACGTAGGCTGTTCGGCCCACACTGTGATGTGTGTAGGCGTAGAGCCGATCCTCCAAAAACGTTGGGCTTGAACTTGGACCTTTCACCCTGGCCCAGGTGATGATGTTCGGTGGTGACCTTGGTGTTTTCCCTGTGACCAGACTGGACGGACGCTCCATTGGAGATGGCAAGGCGTCACCCTATGCCAATTCTGCAAGGGCAGCTTACTCCATGGCATGCCATATGGGGATGGGTCAGCCATGTGTTTGACCTTTGGGACATTTTGGCGCACACATTTGATCAAATTAATTTGCCGCATCCCTTCGCTGCCTTCAAGCTGACAGCTTTCGTTTGAGACGTGTTTCCTCTCAATCGAACAAACACCGATCATTTTGCAGGTAGGGCCTGTTGCAGCGAAGGTCAAGGAGCTGATATGGAAGGCCAGTTTTCCTGGAGTCTATTTGTGCTGCGGAATATGAATCAAAGACAACGCAGTTGCCTTGTCATTTTGACCTTTCCCCAGGATGCTCAAGAAGGCCAAGGTGAACACATCAAGCTTACCTACTGATCGTGTGTCAGCCAGCTGACTCTGGCCTCAATGTACAAAGTGCAGAGAACATACTGGACCGCTCGCCTCTTGCGTTATCTCCGAAACTATTGCTAGAACTTGCGCCAGACCCTGAACCAAGACGAGCATTTTTTACATTTCTGTTGAGTAGAAATTTATGACTATGTATATTTACTGTGTATATACTGTACTATACATGTTGAATGCAGGCAAGATTTGCAGCAGTAGGAGATCAAAAATATGTGCTGCAGAAAACGCATGGACGTGCATCACCATGTATTAAACTATCAAGAGCTTTTGTGGCAGCGATTCAGCTAAGCGGAGATGAACCCACTTCACGTTGGACCCTCCGAGGGGAGGGCAAGGCGGTAGTAGCTCGCCATGCTTGAGAACAAGGTTCAGCAAAAGTGAACTCACGTGGAAATCGGTTGCATCTTAAGGAAAAGCCTTCCACAGAGGGAGGTGCTTCCGACGCATTGGTTTATGCGCACCTACACGGAATCCTTTGCTTGGCCACTGGAATGTAAACTTAGGGAGAGCATCCATGCCTTCGCCTATCTTCGCCTAGGCATTTGCCGAACGACTCGACGAGCGAGGGCCTCAAGTTCCTGCTTTTACTCTTACTGTTGCAGAGGTTTGAATCCTCTTCAGGACAAGCGTCTCTCATGTGAGTTGCCAGAGTGAATCCCAAGTTCACACGCGAGAATGAGCCCTGTTGCAGGTATGGCCGAGCAGTTTTGCAGGGTGCCTCGGACAGTCCTGCCTAGAACGACAGACACAAGCTTTCCCAGCGTACCTGTTTGAATTAGCTTTGCGGTGGGGTAACGTATGCACTTGTGACTTGCACTATGGAAAAGCATATACTGTAGACTGTATAGATGCCCCGGCACAAAAAGACCCTGGGATGGTGGTGTTCTCCCTTTCGATGTCCCACACCTGGTGATTGTTGCCTCTGCACGAAGGCCAGATGGAAGGCTAACGAAATCAGAAAGTATGGGGCTTAGCGGCTTACCTCTGCATGACCAGCTGCGTGATGTGTGTTTTTCGTCACCTTTCTTGCTGCAGCATGGACTGAAGCTGACTTGAGGTTTGCAACTTTGCGATCAGGTGCCGTGCTTTCTAGACAAGCCAAAGGCGCATGGGGCTGTGGGAAGAACCTATGCCCCAGCATTGCCAAACGTGTACAAGCTTGCAAGCACAGATTTCATACATGTTCATGCTATACATAAATGCATAAAGATCATAAAGATATTAACAGGAAACAAAAAACAAATAGGCGTTGGCCATCCTTGGCCCCCGACCCGAATTCAGGGAGATTTGTTCTGGGCAGGTCTTTGTTGCAGGCTCCACTGGCGAGCTTGGTCGGAGGGCGGGGTTGCCTAAACAGACAGCGGAATTTGAACATTCTTTTCCACTGGTTGCGCCTCTGGACGTGTCCATTGGAAACCCTTTCCCCTTAGAATCCTACAGACATGCTGCACCCATGAGTGACACATTAGCGGCCGGACTTTGCCTTACAACATATTTAGCAGGGGTGGACATCTGATGCCGCACCCGCCGTGGGCCTGATGCAACATTATTGGGGGAACTCTATACCGTTTGGCTGCCTAGGCTACCTTGGATATGCTTCGGAATGGCATGCTCGGGGCTTGATTTGTGTGTTTTAAGTCCGTTGGCACGAACTGCTGTGTTGAAGTCAGATAGCAAGAGGCGAGTTTAGCAAGTCACGGACTAGTGACTAGTGCTTCGTTGCGAGTCACTAGTGTTTTTTTGGGGTCGCATGCTCTTAAACGGGGAGGGCTGTTGTATAGGTCCCTTTACCTTGGAGTGCGAGACGAGGGCCTTACACTGAGGCAGTGATCAAAATGATCAAACCATCATTGTTCTTGCCTGTGCTATTCACTTGCATCTATTTGCAAATTCATTTTTGTTGGCGACAGCCCAGAAGGGACAACATGGCCAGTGGGCTGGGAATGTCGGGTCTTTAGGTGGCGGGCCCACTTCCTCAGGTCGAATGTACGAGGTGCAATATCAGAATCGTAGCTCCACCAAGTGCGCCGCCGAAAGATGCCAATGTCTAGAGTTCGCTATGCTGAGCATAGGTCATGACAATCGACTTTTCCAGGCTCTTCAGGACGATACCCACATTGCATGCAAGTTGGCACTGGTTGCCCCGAACCATGATGACCGGCCACACTTGGCAGAACATGTTGGTTTTTACAGGGCTTACAGTACGTATTTGTTTTTTGCCTTATACCCCCTGGCAGGTTTGTTAACATTGGACCCTGAAAACCCCTGGGTTGGTGAGAGTGTCCCTGTGACACAGCTCGAAAACAGATGAAAAAAGAAAGAAAGAAACAAAGAAAGACAGAAAGAAAGAGACAGACAGACAGACTGAGAGAGAGAGAGAGAGAGGGGGGGGGGAAAAGTCTTCCGGGAGATCGTTTTCAGGGTTCATGTCAGCGTGCAGGGGGATGTCGTCGAGAGTGGAGGATTCACCTTGCGTTCTCTTACAAAAGCTCCAGGTACCAGATGACTGTCATCCCAGATGCGTTTATTGAGGGTGGACATGAGAAGGAGCAGCCCTGAAACTCGCGAATTGCGCATGAGGTGGTCCACGCGGTGACACATTTCTTTCAACAAAACATGTTACTTGTACCTACTGTAGGCGTCTATTCTGTGTGGAAGTGCATGTGAGTTTTGCCTGTGAGGCTCCTTTCATAAAAATGCACCGCATTCGCATGCCCGCGATGTTTGCCATAGGCCTTGGAGATGCAGCTGCAGGATGCTTCAGTGGTCAGATCCCTAATCGCAGTGCTTGAGCTGCAGCAGACTTACCACCTACCACAGCGATTTTTGTGATTGACTGACGGTAAACGATGTAAACGTTACCAAAAAAGCAGCATATAGCAGCTGATAAGTTGAACTTGTATGGCCATCCCGGCCCGCCACAAAATAGCAGCTGACATTGCGGGTCTGAGCACGTCATTCCTTTGCGCCTAGTAGCGTCCTTTGTTCCCAGTAGTAAGGCCAGGAGCCCCTAGTAGCGTCCTTGCTCCTCCTTTGCTCCTAGTAGCTTCTTGTTCCTTTGCACATTTTGGCACTGTTGCGTTCAGCTATAGGGATAGGAGAGCAGTGAGGAAGGACACTGATTCACTAGTCAATCTTCCTATAGGTGGTCGATCTGGCTGGAGCTCGCTTTGGCTTCGACATCCTTCGGCCGGGCGTCGGTGCGGGACCCGGAACGAAATAGACGAAGTGGCAGAGCAACGCACACATATATACATATATATGTACAGTATTGAACAGACAATGACGACATCATTTTTCCTGGTTCTTTGGCTTTGGATGCTGAGATTGAGGAGTTGTCCGAAGCAAAGGAACATAGTTTCAGAGCCTCATTGCTTTTTGCAGTGGGAGGTTGAAGGTGTCACATTTTGATGTGCTGAGATAATATCACCTGAGCACATCCAACTGCTGTAGGTCCCTCATAGGCCTTCAGTTCCCACCAATTAGCTGGGGAGGCCTCGATAACGAAGAGCCCGAGCCTCAGCGCCTTCACAAGGCGAGTGGGCTGACTGACCACCATGCCGGTTTGGTCCGTCCTTTGGCCGTACAACTAAGAGCGCCGTGGCATTCTTCCAATTTCCTAAGACGTTTCCAAGGCCGGAGCGTTGTGACCTCAACGGGACGAAGGCCTTGGTGGATGCAGCTAAGGCTAAAGGCCGGTTTCCGCTCAAGAGCCAGTCCATCGTGTCAGTGTCCATAGTCGATTTTGCCTGCTTTTTTTCTTCTCATCCAGAAATGAGATACACTGCGCCACAGTCTTTAGCTCAACGCCAAATGACGACAGCTCTGACCTGACATGATTTCGTCTTTGTAGTGATCCATTGGCCCGGCTGCCCATGTGTAGGGCCTCGAATATGTGCACTCATCCCTTTCTGATTCTTCAGATCCTTGCATATGAGTTGCCAAAAGGATTTGCACCAGGGCGCCTGCGTACAAAGGAACCCTTGCAAAACATTGCCCATGGCCCATCAAGTCAATAATTACACTTTACACTTACACTTTACACTGGCCATTGCAATGGGTGTGCACTCTTTGGCAGACTTGGGAGCTGAGGGTGTCTACGCATGTGGGAAGGGTTAATGCTCGGGAGTCTCACGGTCGCTGATAATACGAGTTTTGCAACCAAGTGCATTAGGCTACTCCAGACAGATTTGATATGAGAGGCCCACTCTAAGGAGAGGAGCCACATCTTAATCGAAAAGATCTGGACTTTGACCTCTTTGGGCTTTGGGCATCGCTGAACACTCCTGTCATTTGCTCCAGTTTTTGTTGCAAACACCAGGGCTTGAATCTTGAGTCTTTAATCAGAGATAGTCAAGCCGACAAAGCTTTGCTTTAACATGCTTTAACCCTAACACTAGCCGACTCTGGATATATGTGGCAAACTTCCTGTTGTCCTGTTACATCAGCTTTTCTGCTGAAAGGCCCTTCCCCAATCATCCCAGGTGATCCTAAGTGGGAGCTCAAGGTGGAGACGACTAGGCTTCAAGGGGCTTTCAGTCTGAAAGTCGGACGCGCGAGAGTGGCAATCAAGACACTATCTAGCCTCACATTTGGTCGCGCGTCACCCTTCCAAAGTCAATGCAAAGAAGATCTTTTTGCAAGAGATAGAGTTATCCGATGCTTGCGGGTGTGCTGGAGGCTCGAGCCACAAGAAGGCGATTGGGCGCTTGCTGGTGACTTGCTTTGGGATGGTGTATCTGACGAGCCTTTCGCCTCGTGCCATGGCAAGGCAATGTGTGTTGTGCTCTTGTCCGTGGCAGCCATACAAAGACACACACACACATAATATACATATTTACAATTATAGCTAATTAGTTAACTATACACGTATATATATATATACACAGTATATATATATATTTATGTAATATATCAGAATTGATCAGTCAAGGGA